TGTGTGAACTCATGTTTTAAAAAAAGGGAGAGATGTAGTGTTGGTGGATTTACCCACCCCACCCCTGTTAGGTTTGCAAGCGTGCGAGTGCGCATGTGTGTAATAAAGAGACGAGCATCAAAGCACATGGTTTAGTGTAGTTGATTATTATTTAGAAAATACACCACAGGATGTGACTTAATAGTGTAAAAACACTAAAAACTTGTGGTCCTACTTGTGGTGTTAAAGTCACTCTGAGTGATTTCTTTTGTTTATGATTTTATGTGTAGAGGAATTTCATTAGGTCAACATAATATTTCAGGTGACTTCTTAATGCTCGTAATGATCATGTGACTTCTTAATGCAAATCCTCAAATTGTTTTCTTTCTCATTTCCAGTCAGTAAATAGTCGCTTTATCCCTCGGTCTCTGATAGAGACAGACGCTATATTATCACTGAATGATGATGTGAAGCTAAATGTCAATGAGGTTTGTACCTAGATATTAACATTATACATGAAGCTTAAATAGAAGCATCACTGTAGCTATTCCGAGGTTAAGAAAAAAATGAGTCAACAACACTTCACTGTCATTTTACCGACTGCATCGACCCACAACAAAACCCCAAGAAGTACCAGAACTGTGGGGCATGCTTCGGCTGATCATCACTCAACACATTACTCACTCTTATTCATGAAATAGTAATTCTTTTCTTAAATTTATTTTCAATTTTAAATCTATGGAGTCACATTTTTATATTGTAAAGCGTCTTTGAACTTAAGGATATCGATGCTATATAAATTATTCCTTATTATTATTATTATTAACACATGGCCGATGGTTGGCCGACTATCGACTAGCAGTCGGGATAGTGCACCGACATGTGTTGGCTGGTCATTGAAGTACAAGATTACCCTTTTAACCTCACTTATTTATTACAGTATTTTTAAATTGAGTAGGAATATAACTGCAGGTATCTGTTTCAGATTGACTTTGCTTTTAACGTGTGGAAAGATTTCCCTCAGAGGATTGTTGGCTTTCAATCTAGAGATCATTACTGGGATAACGGGAAATCACACTGGATGTATTCCTCAGTCCACGAGAATGAGTTTTCCATTGTTCTTACTACAGATGCTTTTTATCATAGGTAAAAATCAAATTGCTTGTCGTTGATTATATAGGTCATATTGTAGTGAATCCATTCTTTTTGCTATCATATTCTTCCATCCATCCATCCATTCAGTTCCCATTTCTATTTCCATCCTATGCATGTGTTCTTTTCCATTCATGAAATCTATTCATTCATTCATTTAAGGTGACTGCTTGCTTTTGAATGTTCGATTTGAGCCCACGATGAGTGCTCACGAAGAACCATACATGTTTTGAACTTCAAGAGGGCAAAATCCTCAAAGTTTGCACGGGACTCTACACTTTTTATAAGCTTATTCAAAAAAACTCATAAAAATCTACGTTATATCAAATTCTTAAGAAAAGTTAATTTTTCTAACACACAACCAACTGAGCCAACCGGTTTGCGGTTTGCTTCAAAACCTCGCACGTAGGCATCTATTAAATTCTGATTATCTTGAAAACAAGCTCAGGACACCCCATTTTCCTTTTCATATTAATTAAATAAATTGATTTTAAATCATTTCAATCCTTTTCTTTTCAGATATTATAATTTTTTATATACCAATTATTTACCCAAGAAAGTCCATCATATGGTCAATCATAAAGGAATGTGTGAACACTTAGCAATGAACTTCTTAGTTGCTGACGTCACCAGACTTCCCCCAATAAAGATCCTGCCAATCAAGAACTATCACGAGGGTCTTGGCAAGAATACCAAAAGGTCTAAATTAAGACAACAGTTCCATACTTTTCAGAAGTGTTTGGAGGCATTAGTGGATGTGTTTGGTTACATGCCGCTAGTTAAGTCCCAGGTCAGACTTGACCCATTACTGTATAAAGATCCTGTGTCAAATTTAAGAAAGAGATATAGGCTCCTTGAGTCGTAGAATAACATTACTTCAATAATTAAGGTAATATATGACAACATTTGAAATGAAAGGGCCAAAAGACTTAGTTCCATACATTCACTAAATATAGACGCTTTCCAAATTTGCTTTAGGCTGCAAGCAGTCCCACATTTCCCAACGGACTCAGTAAAGAGGGGTGTTTTAGGATTCCTATGGACACATGTGGAGAAACTGAGTCTGGAGGAAAAGTAGAACAGCTCACAGTCTAAATGTTCTTAAGTCATTCAAGCATTTTTATCCAGTAAAGTTCTGTCCTCAGGCTMCGTCCATTGTCCAAGAAAACAAATTGTACATACATAATATGCTTTTCAACACACCTACTCATGGTTTGATTATCAAATGAAATGTTCTTTCTCATGTTAGATATCACTTGAAACAACCAAAGCTTACATAGATACCTTAGATACCTTAAATACAGTGAAGTCTATAGTTATCTTGAACCTCGTGGGGACCAGGCAAAAAGTTTTGAAATTATGGAGGTTCAAAATATCCATGGTAAAATATCCTAGTTTTACACTTACTCAATTCCATGTAAAGTGGCCCTTAGTTTGAGGTCATGGGAAGCTAGAGATGGCATTATATAATATAGGGTTTGAGGTAATGAGGCCACATGATTTTTTTCAATACAACTTTCAAAGGGAATATTTATTAAATAGCATTTTTAACCATCTTGTAAACTTCTTCATCCTTTCTATTTTAACCACTGAAATATAGGGAAATTATCAGTCATTTTTTTCCAGGATATATTTTTTTTCATTCTTTTGGTCTCAACTTCCTTGAAAGAAAACATCTTCTAAGAACACTAACTGGAAGAATGAGAATGATTTTCCTCAGATCATGAAACAGTTTCTAGAAGCTAGAGTATAAGAAAACAATGCAAATAAGATCTACTACCCTTTATTAGTTTACTGTTTGAATAAACATTGCCATTGCCAAAGGCGTTAGGCGATAGGTCATCCTGACATGGAAATGTTTTTGTTGAATAAAAAGAATATTGAATTAGTCTCAACACCAAGGTCCATGTTCTTGACGAGAATAAAAAGCCGAAACAAAAGTTATTCCAGCTATTCTTGGATCTTAGAATAACCTATCACCTAATGCCTATTGCCTATCGCCTTTGGCAATGACAGTGTTTATTAAAATAAGTGTATGTAATCATTCTATAAATCGAAAAAAAATGACATTCATGCCATTACCCAGGCACCTTATCTATTTACCATCAATTTAAAAAGTACCTTGCTTAAAGTTCATATAATTATCAATAATTTGTTAATAATATCAAAATGAATGTCCTAATGTTTATCAAACTTACAGATATTTTTTCAAAGCTTATATATTTTTTATAGAATATATTAATGGTGTTTCTTTTTCAAAGTGTATGGTGGTTGCTGTTATTATTAGTAGATTAACACCCTCCTAAGATATTCTCGTCTTCATCCTTATGAAATCCCCAACAGTTGATTTTTTTACGTTGGACTAACCTTGGGCATAATGGTCCATTCACCATTTTCCATACATCGGTTCACTGGTCAAACACAAAGCGCCCAAGCGAGGCACCAAGGTACTTTCAAAGGATTATTTAAATTGGAACCTTGCAACCTCGACTAAGTGCTTTGTGTTTGACCAGTGAACCAATATATGGAAAATGGTGAATTTCAGACCAGGTGTTATTCTTTTGAAATTTTGATTCGTATCCACATCTTCTCRTGTAAAACTGTTTAACTAGGGAATGACACATGTATAATATGGGAATGTTTAGTTCCAGAAATTATCCATATCCACCCCACAGAGGAATTTGGAATTTCCGATGGGTGGGGGGGTCAGAGAAAGAACAAAAATTAGAGAGTTCGTATGGAAGAAAATTGGAATTTCTGGGGGGTAGGGGGGTGTCTTAAAAAAATTCCTCTGTGTGAGGGGTGGGGAGGGGTATGGATAATTTTTGGAACTGCACAATGACACATGATTGGTAATGGGAAAACATTACACACCAAGGTAAAGAGGTACAAACCCTGCTCATGTATATAGTAGAGGTATGACCGATCTCACGAATTGGTTCGAAAATCCCCTCTGGGAGTTACTAGATAGCAAGTACCAACCAGTCCAATTAAAAGTCCTAAAGAGGGGCACCCCTGTGTTTGTCTACCTTTGTAAATTTAAGCCAAAAAGAATGCAGTCGTTGCTGTGATTAGAACTGAATATGTAAAAATATTTCTAAAATATAAAAAAAGTAACCAAAGAGTTAATTAAAATAGCTTTAGTTTCATTCAATATACCATAAAAACAAATAAATTATATTTATAGATTTTATTAATGACCATTTAATAATCAATTTCTGCTTTCAGCAATTAGAAATGTTGCAAATTACAACTCTATATAAATAAACAATATTATAAAATTGTTAATAATGATATATAATCTGGTGTGAAATGAATTGGATCTATTTTTAACTCATTTTTCTGTTTACATGCATAAAATTTCTTTTTAAAATGCCTTAAAAAACAAAGATAACGTACAGATGCTGCTAATAACTTTAGTTTCTTATGTGGCACAATTTCACATTGACATTTCCATTAACATTTCGCTCTACATGGTCAGTAAACTACTTTACAGGCTTTTACCAGCTGTGCAGCTTACAATCAGGAGTTAAATGTTAGTGCATTCGTGTTATGCTGCTTATTATACACTGAATTGTATCAATAACAACTAATTTTGATTCCAGAGCAGCTTCTGAGTAACAACTGATTCAGACAGAAAGAACTTATTTTTTACTACAACTGTAGGGTCAGGTCCATATTTGAATCATTTGCTGCTCCAGTGTGCCACTGCCACAATGTGGCAAGCATTGCATGCCAAACATGGCAGTGTTTGCCAACAAAAATCAACTGCCATATAACCAAACTAATTCAGATTCTTCTCTTAATTCATCAATTCAACACATGAGTAGAGCAGCTTAAATGGAACATGCATATACTTATGTTAATGTACTATGTACTTGCCGATTAAATCTGCAATCAGCAAACATCGTAACCATGAAATAGCACAGAAATTATAGCAGCACTAAATACATATATAAATTGTTCTCAATTGTTTCATCAATAGACCTTATTCGTGATGGGACAATGTTTTCCCAATTCAGCGTGACGAACCTCCAGGGGATTAATTTCCTTTTGTTTTTACTCTTCAAAAACTTCATGAGTATCCCAAAGGATACGAAAAGAATAACGATATCCCGAAGAGTTTCAAAACAATAGCTCTTCATTCCCACAGAGGTTTGTCACGCTGAATTGGAAAAACATTTGTCACACCACAAATGAGGTCTATTGTTGCTATTTTGTACTAATTACAGTGAACTCTCGCCTCACAGACACCCCGATATAAYGGACAACATGCTATTACAGATAGGAGAAAAATCTCTTAGGAAAATATTGAGAAGGAAATTACCATAAATAATTTTCACTATTGCAGATGCTCACTATTACAGATATGAAGTGAGGGTCCCGAGGGTGTCCG